TGAATGCATACAGTACATTAATTCCAAGTCAAGTGCATTTTCTTTTCTCTGTAGGATAACTACAACAAAGTGCATTCAGAACAAAGCCAAGGTGCTTTAAAATAAACATCTAGGCCAGTAGGCCTACAACAAAATAGTTTAAACAAAGACTGTAACAGCCAGGCCTTCAACAACAACAAATGCACCTATAAGTTTGGTAACCTAACGTGTTGTTGTGATGACGTAATCAAAACGCGGCGACAAGCACGGCGCGCGACCATGCTCGCAGCTGGCTCACAGCCAACATGTCTGCTGCTTGGAGATATTTCAAAATATCAGAGCAAGAGGCGCGGATTGCGATTTGTAAAACGTGTTCAGTTGACATTTCTCGAGGGGGTCTAACTGCAAAGACTTTCACCACTTCGGGATTACTCCACCACTTGAAATCAAAACACCCGGACAAATATGCGGAGTATGATCAACGTAACCCTGTTCTCTGACATTCGGTGAAAGCCGAAAGGGCCTTTTTAACCATTTTCGGCCGATAATTTTCGGTGGCCGAATATTCGGTGCATCCCTACTTTTTAGTCATTATTTAACTCTGGGTTCCTCCTTTTTATCCCTAATTTAGCTATAATTTACTATTCCCAGCAGAAATCTAGTGAAAGCGTAGCAGCATCAAAACAATTTAAACATGGTATTTGAGCATAGTGGTCGATTGTTGTATCTGTATCCGCATTACCTCAGCAGTCACACCTGTACTTGGGTTTAAAAGCTCTTCAATCTTTAAACGAGACATACATGCCACTTACATCGGCTATTTGCACTCGTAACCTCAGGCTCATTTCTGAAGAACGCTATTTAGTCGAGGTTTTTAAGACTGCGAGGTAAAAATGCTGAGTTTTCTATTCATGGCTTTCCTAACGGCACCTTTTTGTGGGTCTTTGTCTGACAAAAAACGAAGAAACAGAAAGTAAAATAGCTGTTTTTTTTACCCTTATCGTACTGAAGCTCAGCTGAGAAAACACCACGTCTTTATGACATCATCTCCGTGAGACAGTGAGGACCCGTTGAACACTAATTGTGTTTTTATTGCGGGGGGAAAGCACCTGGATGATAGGAGAGAGCAGGTTGTTTGGTTTAGTGTCGGCCATCAGTACAAACAGACGAGTCAGAGGAGGGGTGGGAATCAGTCTGAGAGATGTGGACGTCTCACTAATTAACATTTAATGAGACATTACATTAGATACACCTAATTCATCCCAGGCTCAGATGCAAGTTCACACAACTCAATAAAAGAACCCATGTTATCTTACTTTTGCATTTAAAGAATACTCGCATGATCTATTAATCTGTAAATTATACTTATGATCGGTTAATAGCATCAATTAATAATTGTATACCTCCTTTCCTTTTGTGAACAAATGCAATAAACCCATATTAAGATCATCATGAGAAAAGAGTTTGAATTAACGCTAAGTAAATACTTCAAGGTGATTCCTCGAAACCAGTCATTATGTGTGTGTATCACATTTCCTCTCTCCATGTTTTCGTTAACAGTCACAAACTCGATGTTTCCTAAACGTCTGCACGGTCGACCGCAATGGCAGTAAGTGCTTTAAACACTTAGTCACCCGGGAAATGGAGAAAAACTCTGAAACGGTTCGGCTGTTTTGGAGCCATTTATTCAACGCCTGGAGGGTTTAACATTTGGGTATTTGGACAGGACAGACTCTGCTTAAAGGGTAGAGTTTCATGTGTCTGGAGTTCAGATAAAAACAAAGTTTGACAGGTTAAGGAGACAAATCTATATCTGTTTGACAGGAAGTACATCAAGCATGCCAAAGTAATGACAAATGTCCAAATTCAAGTGTTTCCTGTAGTAAATACAGTGCCGTATAATACAGTGAAATCAGAAAAGGATTTACCAAAGAAACTTGCAGAATGAGGCTACTAAAACTACGACAATACTTTTTAATTGCTAACCCTAACCCTAACCCTGGACCCTTAAAGTCAAAGCAATGGCAGCAAAGATAAGAGAAAAAGCGGTGATTTATTGACCTCATATCAGTTCTTAAGTATCCACTTCAGTTTAGTATTTTCAGGAAAACACAGAAAAAGGTTGGATAGTTAAAGGAGACAAATCGATTGTTTGACACGAAGTAAATATAGCATAGGGCTGCTTGATTATGGCAAAAATCATAATCTCGATTATTTGGGTCAATAATTGATATCACGATTATTAAAAACGATTATCCATTTAGTTTGAAAACATCAATTTATTGGAGAATTTTTTTTTGAACAGTATG